GTAAGAAGAGTATACTTAGGGTCTGTGTTCTATTTACTATTTAATATGGTGGGAATACAACCTCTGGAATGTCCTCAAATATCCCTGAATAAAACCAAAAGTCTCTTGTCTTTACTTAGCCTAGATTTCTTGTCCATTTCTCTAATTCTGTCCTTCTCTTCCACCTCCCCACAGTTCAAAACCCAATACGGCAAAAGAGTTGTACATGTGAAGGTGATAGTGAACGAGAGCATTTTTAATCTGACCAATGCCACCCAAGAGATTGCTCATGAAGAGATAGTCCCAATCTCTGGCACCACAAATGGAGTCAACGCCCTCGGGCTGGTCGTTTTCTCCATGTGTTTCGGCCTGATCATTGGGAATATGAAGGAGGAGGGCCAAGCACTCAGGGACTTTTTCGACTCCCTCAACGAGGCCATCATGCGTCTGGTCGCCATCATCATGTGGTGGGTGTTGTCATGTATGAACCAAATGGGTGTGGGCTGCATTGCATTGCATTATTTCCACTATATACAGGCGGTACATGTCCATAAAATTATACTTAATGTTCCTGAAAACAAACATACCACTCAGTAGTACCTTTGCTTGATTCTTGCCTACTGAAGGTATGCGCCTATCGGCATCCTCTTTTTGATCGCTGGCAAAATCGTGGAAATGGACGACATTACTGAAATGGGAGGACAACTAGGCATGTACACTGTGACGGTCATCATAGGCCTCCTAATCCACGGCATTGTTATTCTACCCACTCTCTTCTTTGTCATCACCCGGAAGAACCCCTTCATCTTCATCACTGGCTTATTGCAGGCCCTAATAACCGCCCTGGGGACGTCGTCCAGGTAGAGCTCAAACGCCACTTCTGAGACGGAATCTCTAAAATCTCTAAAACTTGTGTGTTAAAGCTTACACTCGTCTTTTTTTCTGTTGCCTCCTTTTCCAGTTCAGCCACTCTGCCCATTACATTCAAGTGCTTAGAGGAGAACAATAAAGTTGACAAGAGGGTGACCCGCTTTGTGCTGCCAGTTGGCGCTACCATCAACATGGACGGAACTGCACTGTATGAGGCACTGGCTGCCATCTTTATCGCCCAGGTCAACAACATGGAGATGAACTTTGGACAGATCATAACTATTAGGTAGGAATATGTTGAAAACATATATGCTTTCACAAGCAAAATCTGATAACATCTCTCCAAATATGAATAACATGGATGGACTATGAGCATCGTCTATCCACTTGAATGTGGACCTGTTCACTAGCAGGGGTGTCACTATATAGAGTAAATGTTAGTATAATACTATAATTATAATATATTTATGTCTCAGAAAAAAAAACAGATGAAGACCATTCTTTGAAATGTGTGAGTTTCACAAAGCAAATAACTGAATGACATAATTTAATGATATTTATCCTCACCATGACACACTGAAAACTATGAATATTATTGATGTTTTTTCAAACCATTATAGAACAACTCACTAGAAAGTATTTTATACATTCATGCTATGAAGGTCTGTTTTGTTTATTTGCATAGCATCACAGCCACAGCTGCCAGTATCGGAGCTGCTGGAATCCCCCAGGCTGGACTGGTCACCATGGTCATCGTGCTGACTTCTGTCGGCCTCCCCACTGATGACATCAGCCTCATCATCGCAGTTGATTGGTTCCTGTGAGTGCTCCGTACCTCCAATTTCACACTGCAGAAATCTCTTCAATCTATCACAGATAATTGTCTTATATTGCACATGATTATTACATTCTCATATCATGAATCAGTAGTGACATATTTAACTACGGCTTTCCTTTGAAACTTAATTCCTACATTACACTCTCCCACCCGTGGTTGATTTTTTTCTGTATCTACCCTAGTGACACACTTCTAAAAGCCCATGGGTCTTGCTCCATTTTTTTGGGAGAATTTCATGTCATTTCGGTTGGTTTTAACATAGAAACATAATTAGGTTAGGCAAATTAATCATTCCAAATAGAATCCCCTTCCCATAAATTACAGAGCTAATTGGATAGGAAAAAGTCAGAGCTCTTAAACTGGGGTGGATAAATTGAAAAGAAAGTTCAAGCACCCTTAGACTGTAGAAGAAAGAAAAAGATGATGATGATGATGATGATGATGATGATATGGCTTTACAGGGACCGACTGCGCACAACGACCAACGTGCTGGGTGACTCTATAGGAGCAGGCATCGTGGAATTCCTGTCCCGAGATGAGCTGCAGAACGGTGATTTGGAGATGGGCAACTCTGTATTGGAGGAGAATGAGGTGAAGAAGCCTTATCAGAAGATTCCTCAAGAGAACGAGTACGAGAACGAGAAACCTCCAGACAGCGAAACCAAGATGTAGTGACTCCCAGAGTCCTGTTGTGGTGTGCGTGCCCAAGCAGGGATTTCTTTGTGTGTGTGTGTGTGTGTGTGTGTGTGTGTGGATGTATGAGGATGACTGTTTTTCCTGTTGTTCATTGGCTACTTTTGGTACTTTGCCATTCCTTTATGTTTAGTGTGTTGTATCTCTGTCACATTTCCATTATTCATCAATTCCTCGTTTTACATTAATCATCAACCGTGAATCATTTTAAGACTTATTGTTTATATCATAACTGGACATGCTGTAGAAGAGGAACTGAAATCCTACTGGAATTTGACAGTTTTGACACTAGAGAAGGTTTAGACAGGTAAGACAAGACGGCGGACTATGGAATGTAAAGTAGTGATTGGATTTGTGATAAAAACCTTGATGTTTAACCTGAAGATTGTAATGTAACTGAATGGAAACTAGAGGGTCATGTGTCACATAATTGAATAGCATCCAGTGATATATACACAAAAACACACTTTTATGTAGTATCTTGACAATTTATTGATCGATTGGACAAATGAGGCGATTAATAATTTGTCCAAAGCATTGCACTGGGGGTTAGACTAAAATTACAGGCAGTTCATTTGATATTTTTGGCTCCTAACATCCAGCAGTAAAATTACAATTAAAAAGATGCATTTATTAAACACTGCACAATGCCTGCTTGCTCCAGTATGTTGCCAGTGTCTTTAAAACCACCAGTTTAAACTGTTTCTAGTGAGGAGTCAACTAGTTTTATAAGGCTTTGATTTATTCACTCAGTCAAAAATTATGTTTCTTTTACTGTTTGCTTTTCTTTGCATTTTCTTTGTACTTACCTTGTCTTTACTGTAATCCTGGAAGTATCAGAATGTTCACAGTATATTGATACACATACCGGTTACAGTGTTAATTTCCCTTGCATATTTCTAGGACATCCTGGTAGCACACTTGAAACACTCAAATGCTACACCTTTGCTGCCATTTGCTAACATAAATAGTTTATATTATATAAATAGCATATTATATAGTCGTAGCTTTGGAGAGTTAATTGTAGATATTGTGAATGATATTGTGAAGTCTCCTGAGACCGCACTGAGCTGGAACAAAGTGTCATTTTGAGAACCGGAGAAATTCAGGATCTGACATTACAGACACAAACATGCTGAGCGCCTACTAACTCACTCAAATGGAAAACTGTGATTTTGCTTCTTTTTGTGATGTGTCTTTGGGGATTCTGTTCATCGTGCTGGTTATTTGCCCCTTAGAACCACACACACAAAAATAAAATACTGTATGTGGTTTCAAACTACATGGAATAAATGAAACTGTAGGTTTGTCTATGGTAAATATAGTTTTGAATAAAATTGAAAATAAAAAAGAAGTGCAATGTTGTATGTCTTTGAATGTGTGAATGAGTGTGAATGTGTGTGTGTGTGTGTGTGTGTGTGTATGTACGGTGCTCAAAGATGAATTGGCATCCTAATTCATCTTTGTGAAGTGTATTCCTGCAATCCATGTGAGGTGTATTCCGTCCGTGTGAGGTGTATTCCGACCATCCGTGTGAGGTGTATTTCGTCCGTGTGAGGTGAGGACAGGAATTGATAAAAATGTGTTTATTAAAGCACTCTCATTTCAATTCACAAGAATAGTTTTATTCTTTATGAATGAATGTGTTTATCTATAATGAAATGAAAGGGAATTTTAAGAGAACATGAGTGTACAGGTATAAGACTTCAAATTACAATAAGACCTTGTTCAAACGAACAGTCAAATTTCACAATAAGAAACTGCAAAAGTGAAAAATTACGCATTAAGAAATTGCTCAAATGGACAAGGAGAGCAACAGTGACACTATTAATGGGTCACAATCCTGAATACCACAGAAAAAAAACAAGAAGAAAGTAATCTATGTGGGTAATCTATTTAAAATATCAGGCCAGCTAGCAAACATTCCCTACCTACCTAGCCTAACAGCAGCTAGCATTGACTAGCTATACCACGTTTGTTGCACTTACCCTGCTGCTTCACTAAAACAATACAAACTATGCTTTTTTTTTTTTTTTTAAATCAAAATCTTCATTTGCTGGTTCATTTGCTGATTCAGGGAAATGTTTTGGCACCTTGGTTTACAGTAAAGTTAATGATACTGTATGTTGTAGGCCACAGCATTGTTACAGAAGTGTTACTGTAGTTATACAGTTCTTAAACATGATATTATCTGCCAGTACTGCAAATATTTCCCAGAATACTATGTATAAAACACATTTAAAGTATTCTGTTTGAACATACATTTACAGACATGTTTTCCAGTGTTTCAAAGAACAGCATCAGACACTTACACTGATTACAAATGATGAAGATGGTAAGGGAAATAAGTAGAGTAGTGCTAGACTAGACTCTACTGTGACCTGCGCTTCCAGTGCCAATGCGAGTGTCGAGAGGACACCAAAAGGCAGAAAAGCATATATGACGTGAAAAGAAATAATCCAGTGTATTTGTATAATAGCCAATAAGGGTTCAGTCCTGTTTGGTGCTTTTTCTTTACAGTCATTGTTCTCCAAAGTACACCTATAGGGGTCTGTTCAGTGATGGCTGGTCATGATATTAAATGCGAGAAAATCTAATATCATAAGTTCTAAATTTAGGGTCGCTGGAGGGCTAGTGGTTAGGCCACAGCGCTCTCACCTCTGTGACCCAGGTTCGATTCCTGGCCAGGGAACCAACCCCAGCCTCTGAGCATGAGAGCATGCAACAGTGTGCTCTCAGTGCAGGTCCCAAGCCCGGATAAAATATGGGAGGGTTGCGTCAGGAAGGGCATCCGGCGTAAAAACTGTGCCAAATCAAATACGTGGACCAATGATCCGCTGTGGTGACCCCTAACGACAGCAGCCGAAAGAGGAACGACAACATGATTTCTAACTTTTCAAGTCATGCCCTGATTCCTTTAAATCCCAGACATGGTAAACAGAAGTAGCCCTTTCATTTAAAAAAAACCAAAAAACCCCACTAACCTTACAGTTCTGTTTTCTGTCCTTTTGTGTAACTTTTACTTTGATTGGACAATGTGTTTCACTCTGTGTAATCACCTGACACGACTGTCGCTGATAGTGTGAATGTGTGAATCTACAGTCTGGGCTAGAAAGAAATCAGCCGTTTCCTCACTTCTTCGTGCCATTCTGTGTGTTCTTCTTACGATCACTGGTGGTGCTGCTGCACTCGGTTCCATAAAAGTCTTAAGACATTTATTATTAACAGCAAATAGTCTGATGTGGATACACATCTTCTTGAAAGAGAAGAGTAGCTTATATACACATTTATACCAGACATCCCTGGGTCTGTTACAAATAGCCAGGGTGTCTGTGATTTTATTAATACTTTTAAAAAGGTGCTTTGGAGGTTGAGATCATTATCAACTACTATTAATGTCATTTTTGTTGTTGCAGTTATTATTTAGCTATTATAGTAATGAGTCTAAGTGACTTTTGTTTGAACTATATAGGCTTCTAACCTAAACAAGTAGAAGTAACTGAAACTTTATTACTAATTTACACATGTGGTTTTTGTTAACACTTTTCCACATGTAGTGCATGTTTTTATTTCCAAATGTGAATTTAGGCGTAATTAATTTTAATTTCTCACATGCAGTGCATGTGTATTTATTTTCAGAATGAATTCACATGATTTCAGGGTCTTTTTTGTGGCCGGAAGCTCTGGAGGCTAAAAGTAAAAAAGTATGATCCTATGTATTAACTTAATGTGCATAATGATTAAAAATAGTTGGATTATATTGAGAAAATAAATATGTGATGGATAGCAAGCAGGCGTGTGGATTTTTTCATAGACTGGAAGGGATTATTGACTGGAGGTAAAGTTTGAGAGCCTCTGAGTTACACTACACTAAATGTGGACTTTTACTGCCACCTTGTGGACCCCCAACCCCACATCAGTACCTTCGTTCTGAAAGTATTGTACTTGGTGTTGTACTGTGTTATACCTGCTGGTGCAGGTGCACTTTGGCTCTTGAAATATGGCACAATATTTTTAAAACAGAGGAATCTTGCTTCTGCCTTGACCAGAATTCAGTGAACGGTTAAGGAGGTCACTGTGAAGCGACCAAGATGCCAAAGGAAGCAGCTGGAAAGATCCACAGCTCTGATGGGAGAAGGTGTTCACGGGACAGCCATACCCAGGACACTCCATAAAGCTGGGCTTTAAATAAGTTCTCTGGTCTGGTGAAACCCAAACTGAACATTTTTGCCCTTGGCACAAAGCGCTAGATTTGGCAGAAAGCCCACATTATCTCCATAGTGAAGCATGCTGGTGGTAGCATCATGTTATGGGTATACTTTTCATCAGCAGAGACGGGGAAACAGGTCAGGGTTGAGGGCAAGATTGATGGAGCCAAATGCAGCAAGAAAACCTGTTCTAGTCTGCATGATATTTGAGACTGGGAAGTTGTGAGCATATATACTTAAATATTATTTTATATGTATAATTATATTTGTTTTATATATATATATATATATATATATATATATATATATATATATATATATATATATATATATATATATATATATATAAAACTTTGTTAAAGGTTTTTCTTCTGTACTTATGTATCCACTGCAAAAAAAAAGACATCTTAGCAAGTGATATAAAAAAGTATATTCTGATTTATTTAGTATTTCTTATTATGAGATTACACTTAACCAAATGTAAGCTTATTAAATTTATTTCCAGTTTAATAACTTTTTTTTTTTTTTTTTACTCATTTCAAACTTTACATTTTCTTATTCTGCTGGCAAAGAATTTTGCTTCTTTCTAGAAATAAATGCTTATAAATAGCTAAATTATCAGACTTTTTTTTTTTTCAGTGTAGGGTTTCACATACAGCCATTTTTTGGTAGCTAAGAACCTTTAATGCAAGTGTCTCATGTATCTATAAACCTGCATATCTGCACAATTAGGAGCACATGTCTTAAATATTTTACACATTTTAACCTTTAAAATTCTAAATGCTACCATTTGGGAGCTTGAGATCTTGAGAAGTGAACATTAACACATTTAATCACATTAATGACAATTTTTACTGAAAGTATTTATTTATTTATTTATTTATTACTTATGTTTGAAAGGAAATTATATAGATTATTAATAAAATGATCTCATGTGGAATTTTTTAAGTGGATGATATTATTTAATCATATGACGAGAGCCATTTACTTAAAACTGAACCTGAGAAAGTGCAAAATGTAATAATCCAGATACAACTGCAGTATGTGTTATATCTAATCTTGTAAAGATCTATTATTAATATTTTTCTATTTGTTTTAGATTGTATTGACACATTTATAGCATTATCACAGGTTGTGTAAATATGTAATATAAGGCTTATTTTATACACTTTAGGGGGAAAAAAAGTGTAGTCTACAATCTGTACAGATTCTTTGGTTTATTTCTCTGAAACTGAATTGTTTTATGAAGAACCCAACAACAGAGAGCTTCTCTAACAGAGAGGGAGCAAAGCAGCTTTAGGAAGCCTTGAGCCTTGAGCAAGCCATTTTTCCTAATATTAAAAAAAATCCTATTATTTTATATGTTAAGAGAAGTGAAGTTAAACAATTTGAAGGGAAATTCCATGTTTTTAAATTTTGTTTGCGTATTTTTACTTTTTAATTGTTGCTTTAATAGAACTGTACTAAGAGTTGTATCTTATCTGCGACAATTATGAGTAAAATTTATTCTGGGAAAATTTACAATAAAACAGATAAATTCTGTGACTAAAATTGTATAAATCATCTCACAACAAAGTGCTAAATGTTAAATCTTAAATTCTTTAGCCCATACCATTAAAGTTCCCAAAGTGGGGTCAGGACCTGCAGGTGTCCATGCATATTTTTTTGGTTAATAGTTGAAATTACACCCCATGTTTATTAAAGCTATTAAATATATTATTGAGTTCTTATGGTCATTAAGCTTATTTGGTCACTTTAATTGAATGGGTCTGATCCAAACCTCAATACCTCAAAAGCATACATGCTCATACTCATACATGTATAAAAAGCTCTATGACTCCAAAAGATATACAGAATATTATTGTACTCGTTTAAATAATGAGGTTAATATTTGAATAGATGGATTGTGTTCAGAGAATAAATAAATTAGAGGAATTACAGTAACTGTGATACTATTAATGACATCAATAGCATACAGGATGCTGGAATTTGATTTACCAGTCAAGATTATTATTATTATTATCATTATTATTATTATTATTATTATTATTTTAATTTATATATATAAACATATATGAACATATTGTTCACATGCATTCTCAAGAGCACTTGATGAAGGATTTTCATCTGAATAAAGAACCAATATACTAATAAAGTAGTAAATAATTTTTAGTAATTGTTTTGTCAGATATAGTAGGTTTGTGTGCATTGTGTGTTTGTTACATGGCAGTGTAGATCTGTGTTTATGTGGATGTGTGTTGCACTTTCAGCTTTTTACCGCTAGAGGGCCCCCGCGAGCTGTTTACAAAAACCTTCTAAACCTGAAAAGAAAATAATTTCAACAAAGTTACAAATTACTTTTAAACTCTGTAAGACTTATACCTCTAAACTCATGCTATACCAACATCATTTGCAAACAATTTAAACCTCTAAACATTTTTATTACTATTATACATTATAATAATGATAATCATTACTATGCTAATTATTATGTAGTAATAATTTTCTACAATTTTTTGCATGATGGTTTTCTTTTTAAAGAACAAACATACTAAAAGCTAAAGGTCATCCTTTAAATATATAAGTTTTAATAAATATTATAGAAGGTTTCTTAGTGAAATCAAACAGAATAGTGACGTTATAGTGTATTATTATTATTATTATTATTATTATTATTTAAGAGTATTACTTCTAACATTTAGTAGAAAGGTGTAAATGTAAAAGTAAAATGTCAACAGAGGGTGGAGTTTGGGAAAACTAACAAAAGTTTAAATAATTAATTCAATTATTCATTTTATTATTCACTATTAATCTATTATTATCGTGTATTATTCTTTAAACATGAAATATAGCTGGTACTCTGATACTTTCAACAAATCTGTTTTAATAAATATTATAGCAGGTTTGCTCATAAAAACTTTAAAAATAATGTTCTAAAAAATTATATAGAGTCAGTATACATCGAATATTACACTTCATTCTAATCCTAGTTACTTAATGGGTTTTATATAAACAGGGGAAATGCGTAAACGGTTAAGGGAAGTGTCACAGGGGGTGGATTGATCTCTTGATCTCTTAAGACTGCATGTCAATTTCAGAGCAATTCTCTGTCAGTTAGACACTTAAAAATCTATCAAACGCAGAGTTTGTTAAAAATAAAACATTACCTGACATAGTAACATTTACAATAATACTAAATATGTTAAGTTATTTCGCAATATTGCGTTGATCTCTGAAAATATTACCCACAAACAAAGCATCTAATCATCTAGTATGATTAGGCTGGAAAAACTCAGAGCACAAAGAATTCATAGATTGAATTTTACACTATCGATTTTTTTGCAAATCCCTGAAAAAACTTGCAGAGAGCCACAGTTAAAGCCTTGAGCTTGCACTGAATTCTGAGACATTTTGTGACACTTTGGAAAATTTGCAAAATGAATGTAAAGAATTTTGCTGACCTGGAAGAGTTGTCAGATTATTT